TCGATATCACAATCGACGTCATCATCATCATCATGATCATCATCATCATCATCATCATCATCAACGACACCAACATCATCATCATCATCTTCATCGCCATCATCAACATCATCATCATCATCATCATCATCATCATCATTACCATCATCATCATCACCACCACTACCACCACCACCACCACCACCACCACCACCATCATCATCATCATCATCATCATCATCATCATCATCATCCACGTCATCATCGGGACACCGACGGGACACCGAAGGGACACCAGCGGGACACCGGCGGGACACCGCGCGGCACCGGCCGCCCGGTCAAGGTTCTTTTGCCCCGGCCGCGCCTCAGCCACACGGGACACCAGCGGGACACCGGCGGGACACCGCGGGGCACCGGCCGCCCGGTCAAGGTTCTTTTGCTCCGGCCGCGCCTCAGCCACAGGAGACTTTCTCTCGCCCGCCCACGCAGCTTCGCCTTGCCCGCACGGCACGCACGAACACGAAACCGAAATCGATTTCCCGGTAGGGGGGCTCTCCGTTCCACTTCGATCTCACCCCCAAACCTCCGATACATATATATATATATATATATATAAATATATGTATATATATATGTATACATATATATGTATATATATATATATATATGTATATGTATGTGTATATATATATATAATTGTGTTGATGCGTATTTGTGCGTGTGCGCGCGTGTGGACGCTTGGTGCCCCCCCCCCGACGCCTGTCCAGGTCCGTGATGCCCTGGCGCGTCGAGCCCTTCGTGAACGTCCCCATGGCCCGGGCGCCGAGGACCTTTTGAGCATCGTCCAACCGACCTCTGTCCCCGCTCGCGTGGCCTGGGCCCCACTGGCCGGTGTGCCCCCTGGGATGGGGCCAGAGGCCGTTTCTGCCAGATTTCGAAGGGTATATCCCCGACTGGGGGGACGAGATGGTGGGGGCCTGGATGGGGGTGGGGATGGGGATGGGGATCGGTTGAACGATGCTGACCTTCGCGTCCGCGGCGCGCTGCTCCTCGGCGGCGTTGGCGATGGCCGAGGCAGCCCAGCACGGCCCGCGCAGAAACGCTCCGAGGCCCGCGCGGACTGCTCAGAGCGGCGCTGGGCCCCCCTCGCTTGGCGCGAGGAGTGCGCCCTGGGGCGGTGCCGCCAGGCGACCCCCGGGAGGCCTCAGCGCCGACCCGAGAAATCCGCGCGGAGCTCCGCATCTTTGTGCTTGGGCCGTTCTCTGCTCCTCGAGATGGCCTCTTCTTGAAGCCCCTCGCCAGGCCTGCGCCCAAAGTAGAAGACGCTCTCGAACGACGACTTGGGACCGAACTCCTCTGGGTGCTGCCTGGGGTGCTCCTGGCCCATGGTGCCCTCAGCTTTTCGAACTATTCTGGAGCCTCTGGGGCCCTCTGTCGGCTACACGCAGGAGTGACCCTGGGTAAGAGTGACCTTTGGTGCGCGACTTCTCGGGGGCCGCGGGGGGACCAAACCTGGGCGCGCAAGCAGCTGCTACTGCCTCGCTTTTAGCCATCTGGGGACCCATCTGTGCCCGCACCAAAGGTCACTCCGGCGAAAGGTCACTCTTACGTCTAGTCGACTCTGGTCCTCGTCAGGGGTGCTCTGGGGGCCGCCCCGGCCTCCCTGGAGACCCTGGGAACGCCTTGGGCCAGGCGCACCTCTGGCAACCCCCCGCGGTCCTTCGATGCGGAGGGGCAGAGCGCCGGATCGAACGGCCTGTCCGTGGTGGTGCGGTGGTGCGGCACCCGGTTCGGGTCGAAGGTCCTGTGCACCTCCACTGGCCTTGCGGCTGGGAGCGGCGGACAACAACAAGGCGGTCATTGAGCAGGGACTGGCCGTGCCAGTGATCCCATATGCCTACCACGACGTGCTCTTAGCAGTAGGTCGGGCATGTCCCCCTACAGGGGGACTTTGGATGAGAAATAATAGATACCCTGAACAAACGCAAACATTGTAAGACATGCTCGAGAATTGCCCCCACACGATTTTCCTAATATTGTTGAATCTATTCCTCCTGTAGAGGGACAGGCCCGACTTCATCTTAGAACAGAGGAATGCCCTACGAGTGCAAACAATGTTCTTAGAACAGGAGGCCGACGCCCCTCTCCGCCAGAAAGCGTCGAACAACTTTTCATCATACAAAACACATGCAGTGGTCTGAGCATTTTTTGCTGGGCTTGTAATTGGAAGCTGGGCGAAGGCTGGCAAATCCGTGGCCGCTGAAACGGTCTTCCCGGAAGAAAAACAAACACAAATTCCCGGAACCGAGCTCAGCGCACTGCATAGTAAACGGGCCGCTTCCCAGAAGAAAAGACAACACTTTCCTGGAACTCCGTTTTAGCAGCCACGGGTTTGCCAGCCTTCGCCCGGCTTCTGATGTGAGCGCGCCAAGACGCGTCGTCACTGCCGGGATTAGCGAATCAGCACCTGTAGCTGGTTTCCCCGGTTCCCCCTGGCGCCTCAAGCGCAAATTTAGCGAGGAAAGCGCCCGCGACGGGGCCGAAACCGGCTGCATGCAGCAGATTTCGTGTCCCCCCTTTTGCCAATCTCCAATGCTGTGAGGCACCCTCCTAAAGCCAAGGGGAGGAGGAAAAGGAGGGAGGAGGAGGAAAGACCAGAGTAAACACAATCTGTATCAGCGATCAACGATATGCGATGCACCCTCAGTTCCCAAGATCGCTCCTCACGAGGCCCAACTAGTCTTCTTGTCCACAACAAGAGGCGACCCTTTACAGACCTCTGCCCTACAGGGCTACCATTCGGGCGATTGCCCTGTTGCGAACTGAAGCTGCCTGGCACCCTTGAATGCGAGCAGGTATAATCAGACATTTCAATGAAGTTTCCAGCGAGATCCCCGTTTTAATGGAGAATCGGCCTCCTCTGTGTGACTCGACTAAAAATTTTTACTTCTGGTCATGCACTTAAAGGAAATCTCAAACGAGCTACTTGCCCATTTTGAAATGGAACCGCCCCTCGACCACGAACATACAGAAAAAACAAAACTAAGACTCTGCAACAGAATTCTTCTCTTTCCCCCACGCAGAAATCGTTCGTTCACCACGGGCCCCCCGGACCCTTCCAGGAATCCTGTCGCAATCGTTTGCCCAAATGCATCCGGCCGCGGCGACTGGGGAGGGGCCCGGACCCCCCCCCAACCATAACCTCCCGAGTCCAACGGGCTACTCCACAACAAATCGTTCCCCGAACCTCCCCGGGTCCACTGATGCAATTTCGGCCTAGGTCCGTCCGGCTTTGAAAGTCCTGGGAACCATCGACGGCCTCCAGAGACCAAAACCTATCAAAAACATAAGCTGTTCGGACACTAATCTTTGGAAAGGCGGCCGGAACTGCCGCGGGCATCTACCTCGATCGAGAAGAAGAAGAGGAAGAGGACCAGGAGGAGGAAGAGAAGGAGGAGGAAGAGGACCAGGAGGAGGAAGAGGAGGAGGAGGAGGAAGATTTCGTCGTCGCCGCCGATGTCTCACAGATTTTCGTGGTCATTCGACCACCCGAACCATCTCCTCGAATGCAGCCTCCAGGAACCGCCGATCCGGCCCGATGCGATTCTGAGCGAGCAGTCGGCCCGAGGCGTGCCGAGCAATCGTCCCCGTGCCGATGCGGCCCGATGCGATGCTGGCCGATCCTGCCCGGGGGGCCCGCCCAGGATCGAAGCCCTGAGTGAGAAGTACTGGCAACATGGCAGCCACTCGATTGTTGAGGCAGGAGAGCGCCCAATGTAATCAGACTGGGGGCCTGGGGGCCCATCTTCTGTGCCAGCTCCTTGGGGCCTATCGTGCCATCGTGCTGGCTCCTGCGAACCGACGATGGCCGACGCCGATCGACGCCGAGTCGAAGCTTCCTCCATCGATTACCAGTCGCTAGCGCACGCTCGTGCACACTAGAGACCGAATTCCGAATAAATACAAGGCTTCCATGATTTGCCACCGAAAGAACCCATTCAGGATCGACACCCCGAAACAAAGGTTGCGATCAGGAAGCGATTCGGCTGTTGAAACAGACATGCGCCTGGCGTGAACTGGAAGCCTGCGATCCCATCGAACTGCCAACATCCGGCGACACAACCTGCAAACGCTCCGGACAACACACGCGTGCCGCGCTGCAGACTCCGTCGCCCGGGCCGCCCTCCCACTCGGGCACACACCGACACGGATCGGGGGGGGATGCCGCCCGAAACTGAAGGGGCCCTGGGACACACAAATAAATAGACACAAATAACCAGATTCCCCATATTTTCCTATATTTTATGGGTTTCTGTCTTCCCCCCCAATCCCCATATTTTCCCATATTTTCCTGGGAGTGGACGATTAATTGTGTCTGGAAGCGGGGCCCGTCGCTGACCGACGGGCCCTGGCCCATGCTCGAAGGAACTGAGAAACGCATACGCATGCACTCTCGGAGGTCGGCACGGCTGTGCTGGATGGGCGCTTGGTCCGCCTCCAGTGGCCGGAAGCGCCGCCAAGGAACCCCAGCGCCGACCCAAGAAGCCAGCGCTTTGAACATCAGGGGCGTTCTTGTCTTGTTCGAGCCATGCTTGCGTCGCAGCAGTCCTTCCGTGGCAACTCATGGGGGCAGCCTCCCAGGCCCTTTTGGCTGGCTCTTGCGGATCCGCGATGGCCGAGGCGAATCGACGATCACCGACCCTACATCGCCGCTGAATCGACGCACACCAGCGCCAAGTCTTGGGCGCCCGAGTTATCCGGGGTAACTCGGGTCCGGGGTAAGTCGGGATTGGATTCCCGAAAAAGGAACCCGAGTTAGCCCTGACCCGAGTTATCCCTGATGATTCGGGGCTCTGGGCGCCCGAGTTATCCGGGGTAACTCGGGTCCGGGGTAACTCGGGTTTGGATTCCCGGAAAAAGAACCCGAGTTATCCCTGACCCGAGTTATCCCTGATGATTCGGGGCTCTGAAAGTCGGCGCTCCTTCATCGATTATCTCACACGCAGGCGCACGCTGCTGCGCTCCAGGGGCGGACGTGCGAGGACGCACGAGGCTCCCACGATCTGCTGCCGAGCGACCCCCGAACCCAGCCCCTGGGAGCTCGCTCTGCGTTTCCGCGTTCCGCGCTCCACGGGCTGACTACCTACCAGACCACCCCAACCCAACCCGAAGACCCGAATTTGGAATCGAATTTCGGGTTGGGGGGGGGGTACGGGTTCCATGTGTTTTTTCAGTGTTCCCCGACCCCCCCCCCCACTGGAAATCGAGGATAAGTTTGGGCCTTCGGGTTGGGTTGGGGTGGTTTGGTGGGTGGTGACGGGCGCACCTTCGCCCACCGAAGCGCCCGACCGCCGCAGGCGCGGCGGGAGGGGCGCCCGGGGGCGCGCGAACCGAGCGCACGACGAGCGAGAGCGGGCGGCGGCGGCCCGAGCCGGCGCCGAAGCCGGCAGCAGGCAGGCGGCAGCCAGCGAAGCGGCAGAGAGCGAGAGGACGGATGCCTGGGGGAGGAGGGCGGGCCGAGCGGGGGAGGGTGGCACGGCCGCGGCCGACACCTCCTCGCCGTCCTCCCTCTGGCCCCCCCCTGCCCCCCGGCAGCGGCGCGCGCCGCGCCTCCGCCGCTCCTGGCCCATGGCCAGGTGGTGCCACTCGTTGTCGACGAACGGCTGACGGGCGTCGGCGGCGGCGCACGATCGGGCGGGGTGCGGCAGCGCACGCTCCTCGGTGCCGCTCCGCTCCCTTACGCCCTCGAGCTCGCGTTCAGAACGGATTGTGGCGATGTCTCAGGCGAAGCGCTGGTGTCACCCTCCCAAGAAGGGGCAGCCAGGGTGGGAACACTGCAGGATTCGCACCCAAGTTGTTAGGGTGCTTCAGGCAACTTGCTTGTTCGGTCGATTGGGCTTGTGCGCTTTCACAACAATTTGTGAAGATGTCTCAGGCGAGGCGCTGGTTTCAACACTCCCAAGGGGGGGCCGCCAGGGGGGGGGGCACTCCGTGGTTCGCGCCCAGATTGTGGGACGTATCGGGCGGTCTGTCAGTTTGGTGAATTGAATTTGACTGGCGTGCGTGCGAGGCGCTGGCGGGAGGAGGCAAATGACGGATGCAGGAGAAGAAGGAGGAGAACGGAACGGGAGGAGGGGGGGTATGACGAATGAGGATGTGCGGTCAGACAGACTGTGAGGATGTCTCGAGCGAGGCGCCTGTTTCAACATCCCACGGGGGAGCCACCAGAGGGGTATCTACTTAGACACCTCCGCCTCACCACTCACACTCAGACTCACGCGCGCTCAGACTCACTCATATTCAGACTCACCCGCGCTGAGGTTCACTCTCAGGATCACTCAGACCCAGGGTCACTCATGCTCAGACTCATCGTTCTCTGACTCGCCCAAAAGCAGACTCACACAGATTCAGACTTGCTCCCCTTCAGACCCACTCACGCTCAGACGTACTCGCACTCAGGCTTCTCACGCTCAGACTGACTCGCACTCAGACCCACTGGAACTCAGACTGACTCGCACTCATCTGCGCTCTCACCCATCCTCACTTGCACTGCGGTGTGCGACTCGCTCGGACTCAGGCTGGCAAACTGTGGGGATGTCCCGAGCGAGCGACTCTCTCTCTCTCTCTTTTTTCCTCTCTCTCTCTCTCTTTCATACGCAAACGCTCATCAACATGTACCATCGGGAACACGTGCGGCGCTTTCGTGCGGCGTCGGCGACGCAGGAGTATGTGTGTGTGTGTGTGCGTGCGTGCGTGCGTGCGTGCGTGCGTGCGCGCGCGTGTGTGTGTGTGTGTGCGCGCGTGTGTGTGTGTGTGTGTGTGTGTCTGTGGGTGTGTCTGTGGGTGTTGGTGTGTGTGTGTGTGTGTGTGTGTGTTCGGGCTCGGCCCGCCCCTTACCTGGGACACACCCCCTTGCGATATCGCTAGCAACAAAAATCCGCCGACCCTGTCGGCGTGTGTTGGGTGTCTGTCCGATCCCGTCGACGGGGAGCCTTCTTTCGTTCCCTCCTTCTCATCCTCCTCTCTCGTCGGGGGAGAGAAAGGGAACACCCCTCCTCATTCGGGGAACGGGTTCGCAGCTTGAGGGAATTCCATCCACGTCCTCATTACGTCAAACCCCGGCGGCGTGGGGGGGTCCTCGGGTGGGGGATCAGATTCCAATCGCCTCTGGGGGTCCTTCTCTCCCACGCTGGTCCTTTTCTGGCGCGCCGGTCCTCGTCGGGTCCTCCTCCCCAGGTGGGGAGGAGTCCCAGGGGGGGACGGGAGTCAGATACGCATCCGTCCCTGGGGGTCCTCCCTTCTCCTCCTGTCCTCCTCCCCAGGGAGGGGGGGTACCAGGGGGGAGTCCTTTTCCTCCTCTTTTTCCTCCTCCTCCTCCTCCTTATCTCCGCCTCCTCCTCCTCCCCTTCCTGGTCGTCGTCGATGTCCTTGAGGCCTTCACAGTAAGATTCGCCCGCCCCACGGCCCGATGGCATGCTGGAATCCAGGGTAATCCTACCATCTCTCTGATCGTTTTTTTCCCAACCCTCCGTGGTTGGGTTCTCGTTTTGAATAGAGCACCGTGGTCTCCACCACTCACTCCTCGCCCCTCCTCTTTCCTCCTTCCTTTCTCCTCCTTCTCGTTTTCTTCCTCTTCCTCCCTGCCTCGTGGGGATCCGACCTCGCCGGGCTGCGATCTGCGAAGCGGGAAGCTGCGATCTGCGAAACTGTCGCCGCTTTTGTGGGCTCCTGGGAGGTCCAGCGGAGGGACGTCCCACGGGAACCACCATGAGACCTTTCGTGGGCTGAGGTCCAGCAGAAGGGTGTCCCACGGGGATCACCATGAGACCTCGCCGTCCCTGGGGGGCTGCGATCTGCGAAACTGTCGCGACTTGGGTGGGGTTCTGGGAGGTCCAGTGGAGGGATGTCCCACGGGGACCACCATGAAACCTCGCCGTCCCTGGTGGGCTGCGGTCTGCGAAACTGTTGCCACTTTCGTGGGCTCCCAGGAGGTCCAGCGGTGGGGTGTCCCACGGGGACCACCATGAGACCTCGCCGTCCCTGGGGGGGTGCGATCTGCGAACACTTTCGTGGGTTCCTGGGAGTCCAGCGGAGGGGTGTCCCACGGGGACCACCATGAGACCTCGCCGTCCCTGGGGGGCAGTGGTATGTGAAACTGTCTGCGAATCTGGAAAACCGAACTACGACTACACAATGTCCCACGAAGCATGTCTCCAGTTCCCCCTCGTCAATATGTTTCCACGCCCCTCGTGGTCGCCTTCGTGCCAACGATCTGACCCTTAATAATGATGCCGCGAATGTGAAACATTTGACTATGGCCCAACGTTATTTGGCGAAGCGTTCAAGAGCACGGCGGATCCTTCAGTGCTTGCTTTTGTATTGAGCGGGCCGATGTGTAGTCGCGTCATGTGTACAAAGGGTTTGGGAACGTCCCTGGGTAGTTTTTTCGCTCTGCGAGACGGGTGTGGCATACATGTAGTCGCCCTCGCCGAACGTGCTGGGACCAGAAGGCCATGCATGACCACGCACCCTCCTGCCAAGCTGGACCAGATGACGCGAAGATTCCTCGAACGAAGGTATGGGCGAGCACGCCTCCTCGAGCGGCTAGCTAGTCACGGACTGGGAGGCCCTCAGAACTCATCCTTGAGTGCCTTCGCGGGGAAAGCCTTGACGATGGTCTTGGCGGGCTTCGCCTTCACCATGACGACCTTGCCGAAGATCTCGCGCTTCCCAGCCTTGGTGGCCTTCTTCTGGCGGGTCTTGATCATCACAACGCCCGGGATGACGAACTTGCCGTTCTTCTTCGCCTCTGTCGTTGCAATGCTCGCCAGAGTGCTCAAAGCCGTGCCGATCACGCCCCTCTTCACCTCGCAGGCCTCCGCGAGCGCCGCCATGAGGGCGCTCTTGGTCATGACCGTGGACTTCATCATCGGCGCCATCTCTGCTGCTTGGGTGAGGAAGCAGCGGCGCTGCCGATGTCTTCTGGTCTGTGCGCGTGGGCCGGAACTTGAGCAACACCAACCCTCTGATCGTGAGGTGTCAGACGAGTTCGTTCTGCTAACCGCTTCTTCCCCTACTGGGAGGGGGGTCCCCCTCCACCTCCCGCGCCCATGGGCCTGGAGAGGGGGGGGTCGCGAGGCATCAGCGGGTCCCTTTGGGCCCAAGAGGGCCCCAGAGAACCTAATTAAGATGGCATCAGCGATCGCTCGAGATAGCCATGGTTCAATATAGCTTCCATTACGCCTTCAAGAGCCATCAATACTGCCCTAGGGCGGCTCCGAGTGCCTTCCGAGCCTTCCGAGGAGGCCCCCAAGAAGCCACACTCCTTGAAACATATTGTGCTCTTCAATGTTTCTTGCTTTCTCGCCTGTTCTCTTCCGACCGCCCAGGGGGAGAAACATCGACCCGGAATCGGCGGTACATCGCCGATAGAGCGGCGACAGGCCTCCGACAGCGAACCCGCACGGTCCAGGGCGGGGTAGGACATCGCGCCCCCGTCGGCGATCCATGGGCGATCGGCGGTCGATGCTTCCCCCCCTGGGTGTATCCCCCCCTCAACGGTGCCCCTCTCGCCATCGCTCGGACATCCATTCCCCGTTCATTTTCGATGTCGGGTGTTTCTTCTTCACCAGATGAGTCAAGATGCTCCTCGATGGTCCTCGCCGACAGAAAAGTGCACACGTCCGAGCGATGCCAAGCCCTGACCCCACCGCGGTCCTGCGGGGCGCCAGCTATCCACCTGCACATGCTCTGTCCATGCCAATCATGGGCTCGATCGCCATCCATGATCACGCCCTCCTGGCCTCACCTTGGAATGTGTGCATGTGCGTGGCACACTAATGCCTCGACGGCATTGGCCCTGGTTCCCTGACAGCGCCTGAGCCGGCCAACCTTGAACGAACTCCGCCCTCGGGGGGGGGGCCCGAAGCTTTGACCCCACCTTCCGTCTGGATTTAACGCCGTAGTTTTCTGTCTTTCTTTTTCTGTGGGTTCTCTGGGGCCCGCCACGTTCCCTCAAGATCGACCCCCCGGGCCCCTCACGGACGCCATCTTCGAGCTGCGCCCGACCGTGGCCACGAGGGCTTTCTTCAGGCCGAAACGACACCGAAGATCTCATCTTGAGGTTGCACGAGCTGGAGTGCACCGATCCTGGGCCCAAGAATGACCCACATTCTCTTGTTGTGGCTGTGTTTGCTTGTGTGGTTTGTTGTTTGTGTATGCGTGCGTGCACGTGTGTATGTGTGTGTGTGTGTGCGTATGTGTGTGTGTGTGTGTGTGCGCGTGTGTGTGTGTGTGTGTGTGTGTGTGTGTGTGTGTGTGTGCGTGCGTGTGTGCGTGCGTGCGTGCGTGCGTGCGTGTGTGTGTGTGTGTGTGTGTGTGTGTGTGTGTGTGCGTGCGTGCGTGTGTGTGTGTGGGTGTCTGGCCAGCCAGAAGTCGAGCACCTCGTCGACGTCGCCGCCGTCTGCGTCCTTCTTCCGCTGACGCTCGGAGAGGTGCCGCTGCTACGGACGGCGCGCCTCGCACGTTACAGTGGGGGCCCGACCACAAGAAACCTTCCACAAGAAACCCGACCCGGAGACCCCAGGACGTCCATCGGCTTTTGGTGTGGGGACGTCGCGCCGTCCGTCGCAACACCATCGAAACCCAGGGCCCCTTGGAGGCAAGCAGGGCATCTCCGGGCATGGGCCCCCACTGTCCCTGGCGGCTGGCAGTCTGGAGGGGCTCTCCCGGCTCTCCTCGTCTTCAAGCTCTCTGACGTGGCCTGCACGCGCCCGTGTGTTATCTCACGCGCCCGTCCCGTCTAGAGCAGCCCCTTTTTTTGCTCGACTGCCGCCATCCAGTCCTCGGCTAGGCGTAAGAGTGACCCTGGGTAAGAGTGACCTTTGGTGCGCAGCTTTTGGGGGCGCGAGGGAGCCAAACCCAAGGGCGCGGGCCGCTTACATCGCATCGCGCTCGGCGATCGGGGGAAGCCCGATGAGCCAGCACCAAAGGTCACTCCGGCGAAAGGTCACTCTTACGTCTAGTCGAAATCCACCCACCTGCTTACGCCAAATGTGAATTCGCCTCAGCGTGTCCCGGCTTAGCGATTCGCAGCGGTGCCACCACTTCGCCGCTGGAGGAAAAACGCGCGCATGCGTGCGTGTGTGTGGTGGTATGTGTGGTTGTGGTTGTGGTGGTGTTAGTGTTAGTGTGAGTGTTTGTGTTGGTGTTAGTGTTAGTGTTTGTGCTTGTGTATGTGTGTATGTGTGTATGCGTGTATGTGTATGAGTGTGTGTATGTGTTTGTGTGTGTGTGCGTGTGTGTGCGTGTGTGTGCGTGTGCGTGTGCGTGTGCGTGTGTGTGTGTGTGCTTGGGTGTGCCCATAAACGAGAACACACCAACCATCAATCGCATTATTGTTGCGTATGTTTGGAAGCGCTAGTCTGGAAGAAGGGGGGTGGGGTTGACGACATAAGAGGGCACAGCCACCTTCTCTCGTCCTCCACGCCCTCTCCGACCATGCGCCTGCGAAGCAACAGAAGCCTACAACGACCCTGGAGGGGCCAATCTTTGGCCCAGGAACGGTGCAAAAGCCAAGGTCGGGACAGGTGATTCGTTTTTTCAATTCATTCTTTTGCCGATCGCAGATGGCAGAACATCGGCCCCGATAATAACCACCCCGACACGCGAAGCCGTCTAGCAAACGTGCCCAAAGAAGGAATCAGACAGGGCAGGGCTATTTAGTAAACGCCCAAGGCCGTTTAGAGAAAATGCCAATTGTCCGGTCCGGGTGGTTTTTCCTCCCGTGAGACCGGGGCGGGCCCTCGCACCCCGCCCTTCCCCCCCCGCCCCCCTATGGAGCAGATCTTGGGTGTTTCTCGGCGCCCGTTTCGAGCGGGTGGAGTCACCCCCAGGGGACGCACGGTCCCAAGCAGTCGCACCGAGCAGAGGCCCACGGCCAGACCCCCTCCCCCCCCCCTCTCCCCCCCCTTCCTCCCAATGTCGAGACGCCGCATAGAAAACAAACAAACGCTCACTGGGTTTAAGTCGGAGCTGTCCCCCTACAGGGGAATCCTGGACGAAACATAAGAAATAGTCGAACAATACATTAAAATACTCAAACATGCTCAACAAGTCGTCCCCAGACATTTTTTAAAAACTATTTTTGAATATAATACTCCTCCTGTAGAGAGACAGGCCCCCCCCTCCCGCCCCCCCCTTCCTCCCAATGTCGAGACGCCGAATAGAAAACAAACAAACGCTCACTACGTGCATCAGTTGGCGCCCCCCAGCGGCTCTTGCACGATCCAAGACGTGCGCAGAGCGCGCGCACGCGCGGGAGGGGGCGGCCGCCTGGCGGAGCTCCTGCCGAGGGGGGGAGGCCTCCTCCTCCTCCTCCTCCTCCTCCTCTCGGGCACACGCTGGCATGGACCAAAGATCCGCGGATCTGGGGCGTGGGCGCCAGATCCACGGGTCGGGGAGAGGATAGGACGGCAAATTCGTGTCGTGGCGACCCCGGCATGGGTCCCTGACCCCGCGTGGATCATTCAACCTTGAACGATCGGCCGTTTCTCGATCGCAAGATCGCTCCATACTGACCGATTCTGAGCCGCTGGCGGCGTTCAGCCGTGAGTGCCCGCGGCGGGGTCGCCGCCGCATCGACACGACGCGAGCCTGGCGCGTGGGCACCAGTCTGTCGTGTGCACCAGGTCCACGGATCGGGGCACGTGCCTTCGGACACCATGAGGCCATGGTGCCGCCTCGTTTGGCACGGAAGCGGGGCCCGTCGCTCATCCACGCGCCTCAGCGCATGCCTGCGCCTCTGGGGCCCATGCTGCTCGCACCCCGCTCGTCCATCCCACGGACCTGCGTGGCCCCGTGCCCCGCGGCGGGCAACATGCTCTTCCCACTCACCCACCAGGGAGCCTTCCCAGCCACGAGCGAGGGGAGGGGCCGATGAGGATATCGATCTGGCGGGCGGTGGGAGGGGCAGATGGTAGGAAGTAATTCCTGGGGAGGTCTTCGTGAGAACGATTACGGGCTAGAGAGCACGATCAGAGGGCTACTGAGCCTGAGTGGCCTACACTGGGCCCAAGATTAAGCCCGACTGAGGCGGGTTAAACCGAATTATGCCGGATGGGGCCGGGTTTCGACCACGGATAAACCAGCGCCGATGCTGAATTCAACCTCCCAAAACTGCGTCCTGACAGATGCGCCCACTCCGCTTCTCGTTCTGTGCATCTCGTCTTGCCGACCTCTTGCGCCGTCATGACCGTGACTTTCATTACCCCTCAACCCTCCCCCTCATCCCTCTCTGCCTTCTACGCTGTTCCTCCCTCCTCCACTCCCCCTCCTTCCTGATCTGTTCTCCCCACGACCTAAGCTTCTTCCTTCTCACTCCCTGGAGCCCAAACTCTATTGTGATGAACGCGCATCTGTCCTCCGCCCTCCTCTCCTCCTCCTCCTCCTCCTCCTCCTCCTCCTCCTCCCCCTCCTCCTCCTTCTCCCCCTCCTCCTCCTCCTCCTCCTCCTCCTCCTCGTCCTCCTCCTCCTCCTACTACTCCCGACCTCTCATCCTCTCTCTTATCTCACTCCTCGGTCCCCCCGGCCCCTTCTCGTCTTTTTCCTCGTCTTTCTCCTCGTCCTCCTCGTCCTCCTCGTCCTCCTCCTCCTCCTTCCCTCCTTCCTCCCAGGAGCTGGCCAACATTGGTCTCGAGACGGCCCCCGCAGGCCACACCTTGGCCAACTCTGCAGCCCAGAGTGCCTCAAAATTGTGCGAGCCCTTTGGCTCAACCAGCCACCCCTCTCCGGTGTCCCCTCCTGAACCCTTTCAGCATCTGAGTCTATGAAGGGGCCCCAGGACACACACATATATATACACAAATAAACCGATTCCCCATATTTTCCGACATTTTCTGGGATTTTGTCTTCCCCCCCACTTCCCATATTCTCCGATATTTCCTGGGGAATCGACGATTCATTGTGTCCGTGTGTTTCTTTCCCTCCTGAGTCTACTCGGCCGCCGACGGGCCGAGCTCGACTCCAATGCTGCCGGGGGAGCTGGGGCCGCGTCCGGCGACTCGAGTGGGCTCGGCCCCGGGTCCGTTCGGCAGCCGCACGGGCCCAGAGCAGTCCAATGCCAGCTTTCTGTCGGGCGTGTCCCCCTTACAGGGGGATTTTCGACGACAAACACAACATCTACCCCCAAGAATACCCCCCAAAAAGGAAAAACAATACCCAAAACATAGCCCTCGGACTATTTTTGGACTATCTTTGGGGTAGTTCTTTGTTTTTTCGTCGAAGATCCCCCTGTAGGGGGACAGTCTACATGTGCGTGCCAGCTTTCCTCTGCCCCCCCCGTGCCTGCCTGTGCTTTGCAGGAGTAGCGTGGAAGGCCCAGGCTGGCTGGCCTCGAGCGTCACCTAGGCTCATGTCGGGCGTGTCCCCCTACAGGGGGATTTTCGATGAAAAATCAAACATACCCCAAACATACACCCAAAAGGTTAAAAACTACTCCCAAAATAATCCCCAGACTATTCTTGGACTACTTTTGGACTATTTTTTTTTTTCTCCCCCTTTTCGTCGAAAATCCCCTGTCGGGGGACAGGCCCGACCTAAACCTAGGCCCTCCACGCAGACCCCAAGAGAGCCCCAAGGGGGCCCCGAGAGCACCCGAGACTAGCAGCACAGGAGGGATGCCGAAGCAGAGGGGGGAAGGGGGGGAGCGAAGACGAGAAAGACATCGCGACGCCCCGTCGTACGAATACCGCCTGTTTCCCTTCCCACCACCAGAATTCGCCGACCCTGTCGGCGCGCGTGAGGCGCTGTTCCGTTTGCTCCGTTCTCGTGGTCATCGTCGTCGTCGTCGCCGTCGCCGCTGCCCTCCCCTTTCCTTAAGCCCGTCACCGAGGTCTCCTGCGCGCATCGCAGCCTTCCCCCTTCTTTCGCTGAGCCCTTCTCCTCGAGCTCGCCAAATAAAACGATAATGAATAATGTTGTTGTTGAGTCGATGGGAAACCCTTCCCTTGATCCCTTCCCGCCGGGGGGGGGCGGTCCGGGGGGGGGCCCCTGGGTCAAAAGGCCATCCTCCCCCGGGAGGTCCCGGGGCCTACAAATGCTAAAAGACAGCCCAAGTGTGCCCTAAAGAGGCCCCCAAGACGGTCCAAGATGGTCCCGAATCGCCGCTCGATCGGTCCAAGACAAGACGCCACAGATGGTCTTCTGACGGTCCAAGGGGCTGCTAAGATGCTCGAAGAGGCCTCCAAGAGCACACCAAAAGGCCCCTAACATGCAAACTTCAATGATTTTCCGTAAGTTTTTTGCCAAATTTGGGCGTTTTTGCTTTTTCGCCGTCCGGACGTCCCAAGATGCAACCAAGATCCAACACGCCCCCAAAACGACCCAAGACTGCCCTCGAGCTTTCCCAGGCGGCCCAGGAGGCCCCCAAGACGGCTCCAAGAGGGTGCCCACACGGCAGCCCGAACGAACATTTCGCCCTCGGTCCCGAGAAACTCCCATGGGGCCCCCAAGAGGCTCTCAGGCGCCCAAAGAGGCCTCCACGAGGCTCCCAAGAGGGCCCGAAGATGCTCCCAAGAGAACCCAAACTGCTCCCCAGATGCCTACGAGCGAGCTCCGAACCCCCATGAAGCGTCCCTGTGGACTCTGCCCCACGTCATCGTCGTCGTCGTCGTCACCGCCGACGCCGCCGCCGCCGTCGCCCCTCAACCAGTTGTCGTCGTCGTCGTCGTCGTCGTCGTCGTCGTCGTCATCGCCCCCCCCTCAGGGTCGACGGCACCGGCCGCACGGCCTTCCCAATGTGTGTGCCGACGCCCTCCAGTGGCTTGTTCCTAGGCCTCATGGGCAGGGTGGCGGTGTATCAATCACCACCACGGGCCAGCAACTTTCTACACCTCCACCCTCCCTTGAAGGCACAGGGAACACTCGTCGGCGGGTGTGTGTATCTCTCTCTCTCTATATATATAGATCGCTCGTACCAAGGGGCGCCAGAGGGTCCTCAAAGGGCCCAGGGCACACGGTTGGGGTCGGCGAGAGCCTTAGCTGCTCAACGAATTTGGTAGTGATATGCTGGCAATCCTACCACTTGTGGGCAAGGTCCAGACATTCGACGCACATTGTAACAATGAAAAGCCTTGACGGCCGGCCTCAATTTCCCAACCGTGTGTATGTGTGTATATGTATGTATGTATGTATGTACGTATCTCTCTTTTCTTTCTCTCTCTCTATATATATATAGATATGTGTGCATGCATGCATGCATGCATGCATGCATGCATGCATGTATGTATGTATGTATGTATGCATGCATGCATGCACGCATGCATGCATGCATGTATGCATGTATGTATGTTTGCACGCATACATGCATGCATGCATGCATGCATGCATGCATGCATGCATGCATGTATGTATGTATGTATATATGTGTGTATGCATGCACGGATGTATGCATGCATGTATGTATGCATGCATGTATGTATATATGTATGTCTGTATGTATATATATGCATGTATGTATGCATATATGTACGTACGTACGTGCGTACGTATGTAGGTGTATGTATGTATGTATGTATGTATGTATGTATGTATGTATGTATGTATGTATGTATGTATGTATGTATGTATGTATGTATGTACGCATGCATGCATGCATGTATGTATGCATGCATGCATGCATGCATGTATGTATGCACGCATGCATGCATGTATGCATTCAACATATCTATATATACATATAGAAATGGCGTACCCTTTCGCCTCTCGGCGCTTCCCCGCCCCTCCTCGCCTGCCCTTTCGGCCGGGCTCGCCCGCGCGGGGGGTGCCCTCCCCAGCAGGCCCGCCCGCGGCGGGGCGCAGGATGGCGAGGCAGAGGCCTCTGCTGCTGTAGAGGCCTCCTCCTCCTCCTCCTCCTCCTCCCCCTCCTCCTCCTCCTCCTCCTCCTCCTCCTCCTCCTCCTCCTCCTCCCAGGAGGACTTGGGAAGCCGTCGCGAGGACTGCTGGGTTGAAAGTGCAGTGGAGGCCAGTCCACAAGAAACCTTCCACAACAAGCCCAAACCTGAGACTCCAGGACGTCCATTGAATTGACTGTTGGTGTGGGAGCGTCGCGCTTCTCACAGCAAAGCAGTAGGCAAGCAGGGTGATTCTTGGAGGGAAGCGAAGTGTTTCTCGGCATGGGACTTCACTGCATCTTGCCGCACCGCCGATGCATCGTCGATGCATCAGCGACTCATCGGTGATACATCGGCGACGTCGGCGCGGAGAACATCGGGCTCTGAATCGAGCCGCATCGCCGATGCATCGGCGATGCGGCGCGATCCTCAGACTCCGTCTGCTGGGACCCAATCGAGGAGGCCGAGACTGCGGTGCGCCCTGGTCCCAAGCAGTCAATACTGTCGGACCTTCGTCGCCTCCCCATCCCCGCCCCCTCCTCCCCCCCTCCCTCCTACCCGTTCCTCACCTCTCCACTTCCCTCTGCTTCCCCTTCCTCTTGTCCTTCCTTCCTCTCCCTACTCCCCCCCCTCGTCGTCCCCCCATTCGTCTCCTCTTGCTGCGCGACGTCGATGTCCCGGGGCGGCTTGCGGAAGTCCTCCTGGCGAGCACTGGGGCACGAAGACCGATAAGGAGAGGGCGAGGAGGATGGGTGAAGACCGTGAGGATAATGAGGATGCAGATGCGCGCCTTGATTGCCAGTCCTTCCAACCTTCAGCACCCTTATCTTCTAATGGCGAGCGCGAAGAAGGCGAGCGGACGGAACGGGAGAAGGCGGAGGATTAGTGAGGAATGATGGCCAACATCATGCGGAGCGAAGCGGAATGACAACACGTCGCCGTAGCGCCGTGTGGTGGCTTGAATGAGCTGCGACGTGGTTTCAACTTAGAAACACCTTCGGGTGAACGGTGGTGTCAACCGACATGATTTTGAAACGAGTGGGCCAGTCGTTGTGCAGCCAGAACGAATTGACTTTCATCGAACGGTTACTTCCGAACTGTGCGCGTTGACTTTTGATTATGCCCGTCCTGACAACATATAACATATCTAACCTCTTCGATGCGTCTGGGGCATTAACGGGATCCCTCTGGGCAACAATCATGCTTGGGCGGGTGGGCCCAATGTGTGTTGCTTTGCGTTGAGGCGAAGGACATCTTTGGCACTAACCGATTCGAATTCCTTCACCACTGCGTTCATTGCACTCGCAATCCGCTATGTACAAGTCGAACCACCTGCGTGTATAGATGTACATCTCTCTATATATATACATATAGATATATAGTACGTATATGCACACCTCCTGCTCCTCGTTTTCATTCTCCGTGGGCTCTTCATGACTCCCTACATCCTGTTCCTGTCCTCTGCATCCCATGGTCCTATCCCTGTTGCTGCCCGCTTCTTATCCTCCCGATCCTCGTCGTCCTCCTCCTGCTGCTGCTCTTCTTCCTCCTCCCCTCCCCCCCGCGTATTCTCCCTCTACTGCCTCCTGCTGTCAATGATCACTATCCTCCCCTTCCTGTTCTTATGCTGCTGCTGCTGCTCCTCCTCGTGCTCTTCCCTCGACCTTCTCATCCTCTCCCTCCATCCCCCCTCGCCTCCTCCCCCTCCCCCTTCCCATGCTCAGAATCCCCCTTCCCATGCTCCTCTTCCCTTTGCGGTGGGCAATAAGCCCCTCGCAACTGGTACAGCGCCGCGATTGGATGTTATTGCACTGTCCTCGCTGGTCTGATTCCTAGGTCGCAAATCTTGATGAAGTAGACCGCGCACAGCGCAGGTCTGCCCAGAAAGCTGGTCATAGCCACCACGTGGCTGCAACACCCACGCGTTCTGCTGACGGAAGAGTCGTCGGCCGAGTTTGCGCCTGAATTCATGAAATCAGTAACGTGATATCATCTTGAGACTGCCACTCCTCGACGATTTTATCGCAAAGAGCATGTCCACCGCAGTGAGAAGGAACGGGCCGACGGGGTAGGACGTCAGATGTGGCGCAGCGCAAGGGTACCTAGCGTGTCCTCCTACTTCTCTCCCTCCTCCCTCCCCCTCCCCCTCCCCCTCCCCCTCCTCCTCCTCCTCCTCCTCCTCCTCCTCCTCCTCCTCCGTTTCTGGCATAGAGGATCCGTATCCCAGGACGCTCTCCTAATCCTACCATGAGAGGCCGATGTGCTGGGGCCCATGACTGCGCGCGTTCTAGCCCGCCTATGCCTCAACTTAGCCAGAACCTGCCATGCATAGCTTACGCCGCCAGACCAGTCAGTGAAAAGCACCTCCTCCATCTCCTCTCTTTCCTCCTCCAGCTCCTCACCTTCCATCTCCACCTTCTCCTCCTCCTCCTCCTCCTCCTCCTCCTCCTCCTCCGTCCTCCGTCCTCCTCCTCCCCTCCTCCTCCCTCCTCCTCCTCCTCCTCCTCCTCCTCCTCCTCCTCCTCCTCCTCCTCCTCCTCCTCCTCCTCCTCCTCCATCTCTCCTCCTTCTCTCCTCCTTCTCTCCTCCTCCTCCTCCTCCTCATCCTCCTCCCTTCTCCTCGTCTGCGTCCTCGCCCTCCCCTTTTTCCTTCTGGCTCTGCCGCTGCCCCCGACCCAGAGTGAGGCGGACAACGGCGAGAAAGGGAAACGAGGGTGGGAGGAGGGAGGGAGCGAGGGAGGGAGGAGGGGTTGGAGGGACGAAGAGGGCGAGGGGGGTGGGAGGGAGGGAAGGAGGGAGCGAGGAGGGAAGAGGGAGCGGGAGCAGGCGGGGACGAATGGAGGGAGCGAGGGAGAGCTGAGGGGGTGGAGGAGGGTGACGCGAGTCAATAGCACGATCGAGTCGCACGATTATAGCACTGCTGGCAAACACAATACTCGCAGTAGGATAGCAATGCACCTACTAAATACCTGGCATAGGCATACGCGTGTTCCCAGCCATCGGGGCATCGGCCATCGCGAGATGATGGGGATGCCCTCTCTGCCCCTCGTCCTCCTCCCCCCTCCCCCTCCTCATTCGGGCGCGCGCGCCGGCACGGATCAGGGGCCCGCAGAGCTGGCGCGTGGCCACAGATCCACGGCTCGGGGAACACCTCCCCCGAAGCATGACGCTGGCGCCGCCTCGTTCGGCGGCGGGGCGCGCCGCCTCTGAACGCAGGAGGCGCCTCGATCCATGCGTGCGCCCCCTTGAAGAGCACACACAGTGCCCTCCTCTTCCTCCTCATCCCCCTCCTCCCCCTCCTCCTCCTCCTCCTCCTCCTCCTCCTCCTCCTCCTCCTCCTCCTCCTCCTCCTCCACTTCTTCCTCCTCCCCCTCCTCTTCCCTCCTATTCTTCCTCCTCTTCTTCCTCCTCCTCTTCTTCCTCCTCCCTCAGGGGGCAGCGTGAGGCGGGGATAGGTGCAGAGTAGAACGCATCGACCCCCGAAGCGCACACTCATCGCCGATAGGGGCCCGGTAGCCCGCCCCGCCCAGGAGCGTACGGACTCGCCATCGGGGGGGCTCTCGCCGACCTGTCGGCGATGTGCCGCCGATTACGGGCCGATGCTTGCCCATCTCGTCCTCCTCCTCCTTCTCTGCCTCCTCCTCCTTCTCCTCCTCCTCCTGCTCCTCACGCTGCCCCTGACTCTCGTGCTCCTCGCCTTCGCCCCCTCACCACGCCCCCCTCCCCACCCCGAAGCATTTTCCGTGGGGGGGGGGTCCGGGCCTCCCTGTCCTTTTTGGGGGGGGGGAGGTTCGGGGGGGGGGACGGGGGAGCACGTCCTGGCATCGAGGCCCTCCTCGAGGCCCTGGCTTCTGAGCCCCCACTGTAAGATTTTTTCGGGCGCGCTCCCTCCGAGGACGGCGAACGGCTGCGGCGACTCGCGGCGGCGGCGGCGACGCCGACGCGCCGCTCCTTGGGCCGAGCTCGGTCCAGCCCGCGCCACGGCGGCCTGCGGCGCGTCCGCCCCCCCGGCCCCCCCTCTGCAAGACACACTGGCAGAAGCAGAGGTGCACCTTGGATACTCCATGCGTTCATGCGTTCATGCTCCATGCGTTCATAGGCGCCAGCGAAAATTAAGCAGGCATGCCGCGAGGGCCGGGTTCTGTGAACCTCGAAACCGGCAGAAATTATGTTGGGGCCCAAGAACCCGACCGGTGGAAATTAAACCACCCACGTTTAATAACGGAATTCGGATACAGTCGGCCAGTGTCAGAAAGATGCGCGAGAAGGATGCAAGTGCCTTAGACGCCCATTTCGCAGCTTTTCGAGCGGGGCGCGGCCAACGGAACTGGCCAAGGGTGGACTGAGGAGGCAGGGGTGCACGGGTACCCTTGGGACGGTTTTCCATCTGCGGGTTGACTGTAGTCGATTTGTTCTCAACCATCCTGTGGTGTTGGGTGCTCGTGTTGGAAAGACAGCGCCCCGCGCTTCTCCTCCTTCTCCTCGCCCCTCCGCCCCCTCGTGGCTGTGACCACACGTGTCCCGCACGGTGGCGTTTCGTGGCCCAACAGGGAGCTCCGCGGAAGGCCCCAGTGGTTGTGACCACATGCGCTGCCCTGGAAAAACAGTGCAACTTGAATAATCGATCTGGTTGTTCTCGTCGCCTTCGGTGTTTCATCGCTTTTGGCCCCCTGGGGCAACTCTCGGGACCCCGGGACGGTCAGAAACGGATACGGGATGAAAAACTACCCCCAGAGAAGTCCTCTGGAGGATCCCTTCGACACGATCTGCACAAGCTACACTACTTTCTAGAGGGGTACAGGAGGCAACTCCTGGGAACTCTTCGTAAGAACGACTCGGGCCTATCTAGCCAGATCAAGGGGCCACTAAGCCTGATGCGGCAGGATTGAACCCAGGATTAAGTGGGATTTGGCGGAATTGCATGATACTCTGCAATTGCTCGGCCATGGATATCATGAAAGCCACAGCAGGAACGGAGGGGCTTTTATGGCCACGGCGAGCCTCAGCTAAGAGTAGCTTCCCCGACACAGATCTGATGAACGACCCAGTAACCAGACCTGCTACAGAGCTCGAACCAATGCTTATTCCAGCGTCTTGATTGTAGAACCCATGCTTGCTGGAACGCCACCCGTGGATATGAAAACCCTCCACGCCGCGAACATGCGTAGCCGAAAAAACGGAACGCAACGCAGAACCGCAGGACGCAACAAGACTGTGAAGCAGAAGCGTCGACGCACCCCAGAATCGGCGAGCAGCTTCTCGCCCTCGGACTCCCCGAGGCCCTCCCCCCAAAGTCAGGCCGCTCGGAGGAGAAAGGCGGCTCAAGAATGCACCCCAGGGGCCATACAGACGCACCCCCTGTCGAGGATGGACCCCCCGGCTGCACATCGCCGAATGTCGGCATGGAGTCGAGCCGCAGGACCGTCGTCGCCATTCCCTCTCGGGTGGAATCCAAACCTTGGCCGGAAGAGAATTCAGGCAAAGGGACAAGCAGGAGGAGGAGGAGGAGGAGGAGGAGGAGGAGGAGGAGGAGGAGGAGGAGAAGTGAAAGGAGAAGGCCTGATGAAAGACGAACAACAGAAGGCATCACCACAATTTCACGAAAACCCGCGCTAAGTTCGGCGCTGGACCCACTCCCTGGCGCGCGGGGCGCGCCACGGGTGGCGCCGGAAGCGCCGCCAGGGTGGCCCAGCGCCGATCCAAGATATCCGCGCAGCCCTCCGAGAAAATACGTTGATCCACTGCTGTGTCCCGCGAGACAATGTTAGCCCGCGTGTACCCCAAACAGTGTGTTCTAGCAGTCCATGTTGCGCATGTGTATTGTGCAACCACTATGTTTCAATCTGTGTTGTGCGATATGCTGTGTGCAGTGTATAGTGTGCAATATACGTCGTGCATTCTGTTACATGCGTTCTACGTTGCGCACTCTATATGATGTAATCTGTTGTGTGCCATCTATGTGGTGCATCTGTGGTGCAATCTTCGTTGCGGAAGTTCGATTATGCAAAATGTGCGCTGCAATAAATGCTGCGCGATCTACGTGGTGTAATCTACGTGGTGCACCCGATTGTGCGCAATCTGTGCGATCTATGTTGTGCAACCTGTGCTGTGCAATTTCAATGATGCAATATAAGATGTGCAACAAGTTTGGTCGATGCAGTGCCTGTGTATTGCTATCTTTGTGGTGCAACATACTTAGAATAATCAATGTGGTGCATACGGTGCTGTGCACTGTACGTGATGCGGTATTCGTGTTGCAATATATGTTGCGCGTTTGAATGTAACAAACGAGCTGATACGTCCCATGCGCTTGCAAACATCCCACCCACCCACCCGCAACTTGGTTTGAAAAACCCATGCGGTGGCGATTGCGATGCATGCTGGGCGTTGGCTGGTGCATCTCTGCGGCCGCGCCATCCGTAGCACGCGCGCGCAGCGGCCAATTACTTTTGGCGCCACCGACGCGGCCACGGTGGCGCTGACCGCTGGGCGCGCCCCAGCGGGCGCCTCACTGCGAGTCGGCAACTTGGGCGGGCACGGTTTCATGGCAGCGCCGACTTCGGTAGACACGATGATGGTAGCGGCGAAGCTGGTGACGATGTTCGCACCGACGAAAGAGCGGCCAGTGCTGGCGCCGATGCTGATCACGGCGACGACGATGACGGTGTCCTCGCGTCGGTGATGCAAGTTTTGAAAACAAAAAAAAAACTCGGCAAGCGCGCGCGGCCAACGCGCGAGTGGCCCGAATTGTTTTATTTGACACGGATCGTGGCCCCCATAACGCGCGCAAAAGCGTGCGAATGATGTCGGCATGCGGCGCCAAAGGCTCGTTTGGCAGACTTCCATGAACATGTTGATCACCTTTTTTTTACGAAGACGCAGGAGCGCGTGCGCAAGACATATATATATATATACACACAATGTTTTCGAATTTGTGTTGGACATTCGGTTTTGAGTTTGTTACGAAACCAAGTGGTCTTTGAAGGATTCTGGCATTCGCGCGCGACGACGCGGGCGTGCGCACTTCGTCCCATGTTTCGCAAGGATTCTCGCGGCGGCACGCGCGCAAAGACGTTCGAACGATTTCGGCATGCGCACGCAAACCCAATTTGTTATTGTTGTTGTTGCTACTGTTGTTGTTGCTTTTGATGCTGTTGTTGTTGTTGTTGTGGTTGCGCTCTCATGTCTGAGTAATCAACATAGTTGATCCCCCCCGTCCGGTGCACATTGTTTTTTTCGATTGTAATGCCATTCCCGGGGCTCGCACCCTGTTTTTTCCCTACCTGGGCTCTGCCTAGAAGGGTTCTTACCCTGTGGGCTTAAAGGGCCGGGCAGTGCTCCCCGCCCCGGGCGGTTCCCCCGGCATCCGCCCCGCGGTTCCCCCAGTTACGTCCCCTTAGCTTAGCTTTGCTCATCCCATCTTAGCTTAGCTTATTTCATCTTAGCTTAGCTTAGCTTCGTCTTAACTCAGGTTTATCTTAGTTTAGCTTACCTTCATCTTAGCTTCGCTGAGCTTAGGCATAGCAGAGCGCAGCATATCACAGAGTAGCATAGCGCACCGTAGCATATCATAGCATAGCCCAGCGTAGCATAGCAGAGCGCACCATAGCATAGCATAACATAGCGCAGTACAGCATAGCACAGCGCAACATAGCATAGCATAGCAGTAGCATGGGTGTAGTTCCCTACCTAGGCTCTGCCTAGAGGGTTAGCTTAGCTTAGCTTAGCTTAGCGCTGCATTATCATAGCATATCATAACATAGCCAATCATAGCATAGCACAGCATAACATAACGCATCATATCATGGCATAGCATAGCGCAGCGCTTAACATTACATATAATAGCATAGCACAGCGCAGCATGACATAGCATAGCTCAGCTTCACAAAGCGTAGCGCAGCGTAGCATAGCATAGCATAGCGCAGCCTAGCATGGCATAGCATATCATAGCAACGAATGTTGCTTTCCTAGGGGCTGTAACTTCTAGGCAGGGTCGCACTGGGGTAATTATCAAGGAAAGTCTTGAGGGTCAAACTGCGTTGTTGGCCCCCGGTTTACAACGACAGTGGCTCCCGCTTGATACTCCATCGCAGTGTATTGAAGAATCGCGCTCTCGCTTTGGACTTCCTTGC